AGAAACCTGATGTAAAATATACACTCAGCGTTCAATCCATCAAGTTTGTTATTCAGCCTCCTTACACACCTTTCAGAGATGAGGATAACTTCCCTCTGACTGTAGCGGACATTTTCAACCAACTTGATATTGTTTTCCACTATGAAATAACAATATTCTGCACAAAGACTCAGCTGATGGTAAGAAGGAGACCCAAGCGTGACAGCTGACTTACATGATAGCTTATTATTAAATGATACACTGAGCCTAAAAATGAATGGTATCGTGCAGGGGTGTCCACAGGGGGTCAAAAAAGTCAATATGGGGGCCACAACCATGTGATTGAAGCCCCACCCTTTTTTATGATGCATGTACCAGATGTATGGAGGTTGTGCAGAGGAAAAGTGGGGGGTTGGAAAAACAGGATTAGAGGAAGGAGGGAGGTCAAAGGAAAATGGGGTTTGAGATCATGGGCTGGATCAGGGAGCAGCACAGGCCAGATTAGAATCAGGGGCCCAAAATTCTCCAAGTCAGAAGTAATCCACTGCCACGTACAAGCTCTCCATCATGAATCCTCTTGTGTGAACTTTCAGTTGACTTTGGAAACTCAGTTGTCTCTCTCTTGCCTCTCAATTTAGTGGACAAAAATTGAAAGGAATGAGGAATTTGAAATCACAGACTTGGATCCTGACACTGAATACAATGGAACGATATCCATCATATATTCCGACAAAATCAGCAAGCCCTATGTGTTTCAAGTACGGACGTTATCAGGTGCGGTTTGATGCACAGTTTGATCTTGCACACGTCTATTTTAATGAAGTAGAAATATTTCAGAGTATGCTAACGGTCCAAGCAGGTAATGCCCTCACATGGTCCTGCTTCATCTATAGCATAACACACAAGGGCGTGGATACATGGAGCTCTTCTTCTTCTTTTTTTTTTTTAATTAATTCTCAGAGCATCATAGGACGTGCAATTGTTATTGTTCTACTGTTCTGATTTTAAATTAGCAATTATGCTGCTTTATGGTTTTATTACATTTTTAGCATATTATGGTGGATACTTTATTTGTGTAAACTGCTGAGAATCATAAGATTGTGGTGGTCTGAAAACCGAATAAATAGAAAGCTATACAACGAATTTTCATAACTCCTAAGTGTTACCTGTTCTCTTTTCCTATCCCCACCCACTTTGCAACTAGGAGAACACTTCAAAGTTTTATTTCTTCCTTTTCATTGATTCCTTTGTTTAGTTTCCAGATCTGGAATTATGGTTAAGTAGAGCCTCTTTTAGACACTATGATATTAAGGTGGCTCATTTTAAATTAAACTTCATCTGACAGGATAGCAGAGCAACCACAGTTAACCATGACTAGAAACAAACATTTCTGAATACGCTACACCAGCTATCAAGATGTTTCTCAAGGACTTAACTGTGGCTGTTCATATGACATGCTAAAACTTAAACCTGGGTTAGCAAACAGAATTGCTCTGATGTGTACACACAGCCCTAACCTGGTTGGTTTGGTTTTGCTTCCCATGCTAGAATCCATCCTTAAAAAGAAGCCATAGCTCATTTTTTACAACAAGCGACCATTTGCAACAACAATCCATTGGGTTATCAATCCTATCTTTTAATCATGATCTGTCATTATATCTGAATAAAAATCATGCTTTTTTGTTGTCGTTTTTGTTTGTCCCCATCCATTTCTACTAGGTTTTGACCAGATTAAAAAAAAAAAAATGAAACCAAGCAGGAATGAGATGAACAAGCTATAATTGCTTGGTTTACCTGCAAGAGTGACTCTAGTTTAAATAAATCCAGGTTAGATGTTATGCCTGAATGTAGCCTTTCCCTGGCCATCTTTGCCTGATTTTGATTTTTTTTCTGTTCCCCATATAAGTGAGCATGTTTTGACAATTCAAAAGAATGAAGGTTATTGGCTCGAAAGAGGATTATTCTTTCTAACCAACCTCAACTTGGACCATCCAGGAATTTTTTTCTTCTGCTTGTCTTGGTGCTAATTAATGAATATGTTGTCTTCTGTCCATAGATAACACCTGGCTGCCGTATTTGTTTGGAATGCTTATATTTCTCATCATATTTATCTTTGGAACTGTATGTTACTTCATTTGTAAATATGTTAAACAACACACCATTCAGCAGCCCACATCTTTGGTACGTAATTTTCAACCACTATCGAAGTTTTTTAAATGGGTCAGGACTTCTATACACTGGACAATTTTCATTAAGGAAAGGTTTTCACCTCTTCCCCACCAAAGTAGAGTAGATGTTGGGGAAATGCATATTGCTGAAGGAAGGAAGATGTTCTGGCACAATGATCTATACATCTATGTAAATCTATGGCAATTTCTAGATGCTTACTAAACTGGGATACTTCATAACTTGGTTTGGTTTAGGAGTGGACTTGTGGATACCAAGAGGAAGATTGGGAAATAGCTTTGTCCCGCAGGCTATTAGATGTCTGAATGTTTAATATCAAAGGCATAGTATGTATATTTTATAGTAATTTAGGTATCTCAATTGTATTTTAGTGTATGATTGTAAGCCAATTGCAATGGAATTTCATTT